AGGGCGGTCGGGGGAGGGCAGACAGTGCTGAAAGAGGGAGCACCGTCCGCTCACGCCTTCTAGGCCCTGACTCACGCCATGGTCTGAGGGTTTCTTCAATTTAGGAAATTGCATTTAGAAAAACTTTAAAACAAAAATTAAAGAAAACACACAAGAGAACATGGACCCCATGTATAAACTGTCCGGATCAGTATTTCACTGTGTTGGCCTCGTTTGTCCTGTTCTTTAGTGCTGGCTGAAGATTAAAACACAAGTCCCACAAATCACTGAGTCACCTCTACTGCCTCTGCAGAGGAGAAGCAGCTTTCCCTCTCCTCTTGGTTCGGTGGCTGGGCTTGCTAACTTACCTGAGAAGGCCTGACCAACAGGAAAAAACACCCACACTCCAGTTTGTATGTATTTGGGCTTCCACAAAGGAAGTAGCTGGCTTGTTAAACAGGTAACGTTAAAAGTTTTTATGTAAAACTTAGGGAAAAGGAAGGGGGAGAGACGGCCTCTGTGGGAAAAACAAATAGGCTTCGTTAGGAAATACCAAAAGGGTGTGGAGGAAAAGGGGCCACAGACAAACCCTGACAAGCTGGGGGGGGGGGGGGGGGGAGGGGGGGGTAGAAGGCTGTGTCAACACAAGGAACAGTCAAACCTGTGAAGAATTTTTGTGAGCTTATTTGAGACAAACTGGTGACAATTGTCAGGAAGCAGAATCTCAAAGGATTGAGATAATGCTCTGGAGAATGGCAGCTTTGCACCTTATTTTATACACCAGAGGCCCGGTGCATGAAATTCATGCACAGGTAGGGTCACTAGGCCAAACTAGCCAGGGGCCAATATTGTTGTAATATACCCCACGAATCACACAAGGATCACATTATCTAGAGCCCTCGGGTCTTGGGACCACTGAGTCAACAGGGGCACATTATCTGGAGCCCTCTGACCTTGGGATAATTGTGCTGTCCTTCCCAGGTAAAGGAAGATGTGCTTTCTAAGACCAGTATGACCACAACCGATGGGATATTCACATTACAATCAATAGGGTATTCAATTGATTGGAATGAGTTATATAATTCAGAAAATCTAAATAACTTTTCTATTATTTTAGCAAGCAAATAAGTACAGAAACCAGACAGCAGGGTTAGAGTTAAACTACAGTTTCTACCTGAGATGATTGCTACCATACATCATATCCTTTCTGGATAAAAACTCTCAGCAAAGTGGGAATAGAGGGATCATACCTCAACATAATAAATGCCCTATATGACAAACCTACAGCCAATACCATACTCAATGGGCAAAAACTAAACCCATTTCCCCTAAAAACAGGAACAAGACAAGGATGCCCACTTTCACCACTCCTGTTCGACATAGTAATAGAAGTACTAGCCATAGTGATCAGACAAGAAGAAATAAAAGGCATCCAAATTGGAAAAGAAGAAGTAAAACTGTCCTTATTTGCAGATGACATGATACTG